GGATTTGTTTATTTTACTAAATTTAAATTTAATAAGAAAATTCTTGATTTCTTAAGCAATTTGTTGAATGTAGTTGAAATAATTTTATGACTTTATTATTATGAGATAATTTGTAATTTTATTTTGTTTGGTACTTCTCACTACYTAGAAACTCACAACGCAGACTCAAAATAAAATGTTGTCGTGATCATTTAAATTAAATATCCATCTTTAACACCCTAAACAAAATACCAAACTAAGTGTCACTAATGGGTGGTTTCTTCTTTAAAAAATCCATGTTCTAACCCTTATCCTATATGCTTACTGCATAACATTATATAGATTGAGCATGTGTGTTTATGAAATAAAAAAATTATGATTGGTAAGTTTTTTTTTGTAGGTATTTCCGTATTTCCATAAAAAATAATAATGAAGAATTTATTTATAAATGAGTATAATAATTTATTTTATTTTTTGTATTCTAAAATGTTTTGTTCAATCTGTTACAAACATATAAACAATAAGAACAATCAAACAGTAAATGAGTATAATAATTTAGTTAACCAAACAGTTAGTTTTATAAAAATTACAAATATCAAAATTTGTATTAACAAGAATATTTAAACTTATGCTTGTATAAAGTTTGAAAAATGTAAATTTATTGGGTGATTAGATGGGTTGTTAACTTGGATTTAAGTGACAACCTATTATACTATGGACAATAAGGAGGGAACATACATAAAGAAAATCAATAAATTAATTTCAAAATGATATGTTAAATTGAAAATATAATTAGGGATCACATACGTCCCATATTTAAAGGAAGTGTCCCGGTGTCCTGACTAAAGTTTAAAATAACCCTTTAGTCCCGTATTTTGGCTAATCCGTGTCGTATGTACCTTATTTTTAAAATGAATTTTTTTTAAATCATTTGGGTTTTTAAAGTTTAAATTATTGATAAACAATATTAGCTAATTCAAATGATAATAAATAAATATTTKATTATAAAAAAATCTGAAAAAAAATTAAAATTATCTCTTATGATTTTTTTGTTGGTATTGGTATATTTTTTTTTATTTTAATTTTATCAGAAGAAAGTCACCTAATATATTATGTTATAAATCAATAATGTATACAAATAAGTAAAWCTAAATGTTCCTACATTATTAAAACTTTTATTTAATTATTTATTTATTTATTATTATAAATTTATCATGAGAAAGTCACCTTGATATATTTTGTTATACATTAATAATTAAAAATAATAATTTTTGTTTAAGTTCAATTTTTAGTTAAAATTTTAGTATAGGAAAGTCACCATAATATTTGTTTTTAATTATAATTATAATTTATATTTGTTTCTACTGTTTAATATTGTGTTTAACTTTATATTTTATGGTATATTACTGAATAAAATTAAATGTTACTTCTTGGCCAAATGGCTCAAATTTAATATGTAAAATATGTTAATTGCTAACATAAGTCCCCTCCCCCTCCCCAAATTACCCCAATGCAAAGGCAAATTACAAGTATTGAAGTTTGTAGATATGATTTTAAAAAAATGTCCCGTATTTTTTAAAATAGAAATCTGGGATCCCTAAATATAATTATCAACATAACTATGTCATTAAATAATATTCTTGAATAAATATAGTTGATTGATAATTTAAAATGCAATATTAAAAATCTGTCTAATGAACTGTCATCAGATAAATTATTCTGACTAACATTAAAAACTAATTGTTTTCACAAGTTAGGTAGCTATAAAAACATGTATTTTTATTATTTACCAACGTTTAATACTTTTATATTTACCTACATAAATACATAAAAATAATTTACGTTAAGTAATTAGCTAATAATACAATTAATTTTTTAGTCTTAACCTATGCATGCATGTAAATAGATTAACAAAAACGGTACAAGAACTTACTATTTTGACAATTTTTCGAAAAACACTTTCATTCGGTCATCCGTTAATTGTTTCATTATATYAATTTGTTAATCAAAATTTTTGATTTAACTACAATTGTCAATTTTATCAAGATAAAGAATGGTCAGAACTCAAAATCACAGAATTATCAAATTTATTATTTAGTATTTACCGCGTGTACGCCATGGCCATACGAATGTAAGCTGACATAACTACACATGGTATAATATTTTGGCATGGAATAGTATTATTCTACGGTACCAATCACGGTCTTAGAAGATAAGGTCCGACGACTAGTACTTATCTGAATTATTCAGTTGTCCGCTTAATGTAGCAGATTTAGTTCAATTGTTACTCACGAGCGCTGCAGGTTATACTTATTGAGGTTATGAACTTAATATTATATTCTTGTTTTGATAAATGATAATGTTCAAAATTCCGCCAAAATCTAAAATCAACTATTGAACTTTGGTTAATATTTATTCCTATTTACCAAGACGTATCTAATTAGCAATTGCACTCATCATTTWATTTCGACCATCAAGTTTTTAGTCATTGAAAAATTAATTACGCCCAACAATATCTGCATATTTGGTTGTAATACCAATAAAAAACTGTCCGTCTTTTCCATTCCAAAGAAACCAGATAACAGAAATAAAAAAAAAGTTGCGAAGTTTTGTAAGACTTAAGAAACTATAACTACAAATTCGTATTTAAAATTGTATAATAAAAAACAATTACGAGTGTCTTATTACTTAATGATATATTTTATTATTTTTTATTAAAATAATAAAATGTTTTTAATCAATTATTACATTACACCAGTGACATGGCGATCTAAAGAMTTTTCAGAGGTAACAGGTAAGTCAGGTAAGTATATTTTTCTAATTTTCTATTTCTGGCACCGTCTAAAACCATCTGATATAAACACAGACTTCTATACTTATTATAGAAGTCTGTGGATATAAATGATATATTGATATTAATTGATATGATCGTTTTTAATAAATATTAAGTACAAAACCTCAAATAAGTATAACCTGCAGCACTAGTGAGTGTTTTAAGATATCTTAAATCGTGGTTAAATAAAAACTAAAACTGCTTCAACAAGCGGATACCAGATAAAGGGCAGGAGGGTGACAGTCGTCGGACCTTATCTTCTAAGACCGTGGTTAATACACAGACTATATAGTCTGTGGTTAATATAAATATTTATATTTATTTATAATATATATAATTATATTAACCTTGGACATAGCCCCCGAAATCGTATAGTGGTTGCCTATTCGTCCCTAATAAGTTGCTTATATGAAAACAATTTTAATTCTATTCAAATATCCCGCCTTTATTCGAAATACTGATTGGTTATAATATTAATAAATAATTTTAATAATTAAAATTGAATATTAATA